ATGCAAAACAACAGAACGTGGAACTTTATTTAATCAAACATAATTCTCATTCATCAAGGAATAACAAGTGAAATATCCACTAAAGCAAAGCTTAAGTATATAACACCAACATGCATGCGGGAGCGCGGCAGGCAAGCGGTGCATGGACGTTGATGGGACGTGCTGGGAGTTACGCGGGGAACAGACGGGGCGTGTTGGGCGCGCAAGTGGAAGTAACGCGGGCGAAGTCCTCGACCGAGCGGGCATAGGAGTATCGGGCGATGGCGCTCACGCGCGCAAGGGAGTCGGCGGCCAGCAGACGCGCGAGAGGGGTGATGCGTGGAGAGCAGGCGCGCGAAGCCTAAACCTCGAGGTAATAGGCGAGAAGGCGGCATGCACCCGCGTGCGACAAGGAGTAGCGCCGCGAAGGCGCGCACATAAGGCGGCCGAGTGTTTTAGGGCGTGCGAATGACTTGGACATCAAGCTTCTTGGAGTGCAAGTCAAGCAAGAATAATTATAGTAATAGTGGGATTTTATTGCTTTCTAGTATTAGGATTTCTATTATTGCAAGATTTAGGAGATCTAGTTTGTTTAGGCTTAGATTTATTTTCTGCACCTATAAATACCCATGTACCTCTTCATTATTGAAGGACCAAAAAATTGATCAGTGAATAGAAAAGGGGAACTTGGTGTTCTAACGTGTGTTAAGCAAGGCCGTAGTGCGTGTTTACATACAAGTGTCGGAGAGAAGGCCATTAGTGTGTCTTGAAGTCACAGTGTCTAAGAGAAGGCCCTGAGTGCGTGTGTTAGTCACACCTATCGTGTGTAGTCGAAGGCCCTGAGTGCGCGATTACTCACAACCGTATAGACAACAACCGCGGTCATTCATCATTGGTGCTTTCATTGAGAGGTGCTGATCAAGGTTATTGTCTATCTATCTTATTCTTTTTTTCGGTTTCACCTTTTGTTGAGGGGGCCGATTTTTCTCTTTGTTTTGTTCGATTTTTTTCAAATTTCTTTGTTCTTTTTCGTGAGTGTTGAGTCAAAAAAAAAGTGTCATCTAGTCCTTTGTTATTTTTTAGAGTCTTACAAAAAAAAAAGAGAGAGATTTATGATGTCAAACCGTGAAAGAATCCAAGCATTGGAGGAAAGTTTGAAAACCGTTGGAGAAAGCCAACATGTTACCAACGAGAACTTGGGAAGGATCGAGCATATGGTCCATGATTTGGCCGGGCAGCTCGAGCGCATGACTCACCGACCAAGACGGAGTCGCGAGGCACGGTCCACCACGCCGTCGAGCAGCACAGGTACCGAGCATGAGGACGATCGGTGATCGCAGGCGTCGCACCACACACGCGCAACGCACGCATCGCGAGTACGCGACGAGAGGCGCTATTACCGCGAGGACCGAAGACGCAACGAACGACGACACAGGGAACGTGCACGACATCACGACCACGGCGATCACTACCGCGATGAACGACGAGAAAAACGGGCGTATACGCGACCCAGGATCATCATGCCCACGTTCACGGGAGTAGATCCGGATGCATGGTTAAGTCGGGCAACACAGTACTTCGAGATCAACGATGTGCCAAGGTACGGAAGAGTTCAATTTGTTGCTTATCATCTTGATGGAGAAGCAAATGTGTGGTGGCAACGGATTTTGCATAAGAATCACGGTGAGCACATGCGTTGGAGGGATTTTGAAAGGGAGCTCATCACAAGGTTTGGTTCTAGTGATTATTACGATTACGATGAAGCTCTATCTAGAATTAAGCAAGTTGGTAGTTTGCAGGACTATCAAAGGGAATTTGAGTGCATTGCTAGTAGGGTGCGGGATTGGCCCGAGAGTGCGCTAGTTGGGGCGTTTGTTGGAGGATTAAAAGCAGAGTTAGCGGCTGAGGTGAGAATGGATAGGCCGAGATCGATGCGAGCAGCCATGGAGTCGGCAAGGTTGCACGAGGATCATCTCGTAGCGTTACGCAAGGCAAGGCCGAGCGACGTGCGCGGGGAGCCGAGGCGCACGCACGCCACGACCGAGGAGCAGGTACCACGGACCGAGAGCAAGCCATTGGGAGAAGTTGTGCGGACAACGAGCAATGTGCGGCGGCTTACGGACAACGAGATGCAGTGGCGAAGGGAAAAAGGCCTATGCTACACGTGCAACGAAAAATTCACGCCAGGCCACAAGTGCAAAGGTAAGGAGGTGTTTTTGTTAGAATTTGAGGAGGATTGTGTTGGTGAAGAGGAAAGGCCACAGGAGGAGTCTTTGTTACATGTGGTTAAATGCAAAAAGCGTGGTCCTAAGATGATCAGGTTCACTGCTGCGATAAAGGATTTGTTGCTGGAAGTGTTGGTGGATAGTGGGTCAAGTTTAAATTTCATCGACGAAGGAATAGCTAGGAGATTGAAGCTAGAACCCACCAAAGTCAAGAGGTTTGCGGTCAAGGTGGCCAATGGGCATGAACTGCAAGGTAATCAATTGTTTAAGAAGGTTTCGATTATGGCCCAGGATCAGGAGTTGGAAATTGAACTCTATGCCTTACCACTTAAGGCCACTGATATCGTGTTGGGGGTACAATGGCTGGAAACACTTGGGCCCATTACGACTTACTACAGGCGAGGAAAGATGGAGTTTGGTCGACCGGGAAAGCGCATTAAGTTGAGGACTGAAGATCAAGACGACTCCCCTATTGAAGAGGACAACAGTGATGTGGATGTGCTGAACTATCTTATCCTTGGGGACAAGGAAAGTCTTGAAGAGGAGGGGAATGATACGGAAGTGAGGATCAGCATCGGCAAGGCTAGTGAAGATGGGGAGCTAAAATGCGAATGGCGCGCATCGGGCTATGATGCGCGCAATTGGGCAACGAGCGATACGCGCCTTTGGCGTGGAACGAACACGGGGAGGCAAGGGGTGCATGTGGGTGCGCGATAGGCAAGCGGTGTGCGGACGTTGGCGGGACGCGCTGGGAGTTACGCAGGGAACAAACGGGGTGCGTTGGGCACGCAAGTGGAAGTAACGGGGGAGAAGTCCGCGACCGAGCGGGCATAAGAGTATCGGGCGATGGCGCGCACGCGCGCAAGGGAGTCGGCGGCTAGCAGGCGCGCGAGAGGAGTGACGCGTGAAGAGCAGGCGTGCGAAGCCTAAACCTCGAGGGAATAGGCGAGAAGGCGGCATGCAAGGCACGCGCGCGGGTTACTGCGCGAAAAGGAGTAGCACCGCGAAGGCGCGCACATAAGGCGGCCGAGTGTTTTAGGGCGTGTGAATGACTTGGACATCAAGCTTCTTGGAGTGCAAGTCAAGCAAGAATAATTATAGTAATAGTGGGATTTTATTGCTTTCTAGTATTAGGATTTCTATTATTGCAAGATTTAGGAGATCTAGTTTGTTTAGGCTTAGATTTATTTTCTGCACCTATAAATACCCATGTACCTCTTCATTATTGAAGGACCAGAAAATTGATGAGTGAATAGAAAAGGGGAACTTTGTGTTCTAATTGTGTTAAGCAAGGCCGTAGTGCGTGTTTACATACAAGTGTCGGAGAGAAAACCATTAGTGCGTCATGAAGTCACAGTGTCTAAGAGAAGGCCCTGAGTGTGTCTGTTAGTCACACCTATCGTGTGTAGTCGAAGTCCCTAAGTGCGCGATTACTCACAACTGTATATACAACAACCGCGATCATTCATCATCGCGCCTCGGGGGTGTGTCGTACTGCCGTTGCTGGAACGCCCGCAGCACCTCGTCCCGGCACTGCTCGAGTCGCGCTACTGCCGCGTTGGTGTTGTTCTGGCCTTGTCCTTCATCTCCCTTTTGGCCATTGCTTTCTTTTCTTGCTTTCGCTCTTTGCTTCTTGGACTCGTTTTGAAGATTTTATTTTTTTTTTTATAAGGTGGGGGACGAAAATAAGAAGAAATAGAAAGGGAATGGGATAGAAGAAAAACACACGATCTAACACCTCTCAATGAAAGAACCAATGATGAAGATCGTGTGTTTCGATTGCCGATAAGCCACAAACCAGTGCCTTGAATCGCCGATAGTTGCCTAGAGGTCCACAAATCGCACCCCTCTAAACGAATATAATTGCAATAGAATTTTGGTGAAAAACAAGAGCAAAGAGAAAATGAACAAAAGTTCGGATTTTTATTGATAAACTGAATGATGAAAAATAACATGGGGAAGGGGCCTTTATATAGGCACAAATTATATCT